GTTCAGAGGTCCCGTTCGTGCTTAACCCAATGAAACGTCATGAGTTCTTTATCGGTAAAACTTTTGGTCAACTTTATCCCGAAAGATTTGGAATAGACATTAATAATGCTCGTAAGGTGTTAAATTTGATTCGTCAAGTTCTTCCTGGACCTATGCAGGCTACACCATCTATATCTATGGACAATTTGTTTGGGTGGGTTCGTCAACATTTTGAAAAATATGCAGTTACAGGGTCAAGACTCAGTGTTCAATTTGAAGGAGTTGGTGGGATTGGAGATGGTGTGGCTCGTGAATTTTTTTCTAAATTATCACTTGAATTTTCACAAATTTGCCGGAAAATGTGGGTTCATGATGTAAAGTACAAAAAGCCATACAAACAAAATGACCCTATTGATAATGATAATGGATTATACCCTGCATTATTGGATGATCAAATTGATGAAAAAATGGACGGAGAATCTAAAGAAGGAATTGAAATAGTGGATGAGTCAAATGAAGTAACCAAGAAAGAAAATTTAAAGAATGAAGAATTGAATATCTTGGAGAACTTTCAACTTCTTGGCCAATATGTTGCGAAGGTTATATACGATGATCGAATGATTATATTAAGATTGAACAGGACTTTCATCGATATTTTGTTACATCCAGAACATTTGTTACGAAAACTTCCACAGGGAATCGATTTAAGTGAGGAAGACTGCTTGAAAATTGTTGATCTGATCGAGTCAGTATATCCATCATTTGGTTCTAACCTACGGAAAATACTTAATAATAATGACCTTGACGAAAAAGATTGCATTCCATACGACATTATGACTGGTCGTACGACGTCGGTAGTTGGATCCGACGGAAAAAAAAGGGAGCAACCATATAGTATTAACCATGGGAATGATTCTGATGAGTGGGTAACGCGTAAAAACATAGCTCGATACATCGCAGTATGCAGAGATTGGTTTTTTAATCGTGGAATCACACTGCAGGTTAAAGCCTTTAAAGAAGGGTTTAACCGGGTATTTCCCATTGAAGTCATGCGAGAATATACAGCGACAGAGTTCGCATTATATTTTCTGCATCAAGGAGGAGATGGAGATTGGAGTATAGAAACACTACGGCAGTACGTCCAGCCATATGATACAAATACCAACAATGAAGAAGTTGAAAAAGTAATCCAGATAATGGCAGAATATGACACAGACAACCGAAAGCGATTTTTACGTTTTGCGACGGGAAGCTCGAAACTTCCGATTGGAGGGTTTGAAGCCTTGAATCTAAAAGTATTTAGAGATTCAGGCTTGGATGAACGTGCGTTGCCTAAGGCGCGTACGTGTTTCAATAGGCTTATTATTCCACCAAATAATTCGAAAGAGGAATTAGTTAGAAAACTGGAATTTGCATTTGCAAATTGTCCTGATATTGATCGAGGCTAAGTATGGAGCAGATATATTTATTTTAAGAATAATAATAATATTGATTGTTTGTATATTTATTATCGGAGGAATTGTAAATTTGATAAAAAAAAAAAGGAAACAAATTTTTTTTTTGATTTGAGCGACATCTCTTCTCCGATCATGTACCATCCTTAAACGTTTAATTTTTTTCTTTTGTGAACATGATGTTGCATTTAACGGTATATTTAGATACTTAATCGTATTTTCATATTTCTTGGCAGTATCACATGATTTCATGATCTTTAATCAGTTATCTGATAAACATCTTGAATACATTTTTTTATATGGTTTTATATGGGCGTTGTTAAATATAAAATGGAGAAGGCCATATGTGTAATTAGACGTATATATTCACGTTTTCTATTAAACAGCGCCCCTTTCTGTATTAACGAATTCTTTTGTCAAAGATTTTCACTTAACGTTTATAGGTCTGGCTGGATAAGGAAATAACTATTAAAAGGTCCAGCATATATATTCCTTTAAAAGAAGCGCGATTTTTCTAGGGTGACTGGAACGGAAATGCAATACAAATCTAGTCGCCTAATGATAATTATACTATTATCTTTACACAGCTATT